TTTTCCCCCCCCCCCCCAACCAGGCCATCTGCTGATCAAGGACGCGCTGGCTATCTGCGACGTGAGCGGCTCGATGCTGGACAGCTCGCAGAAGGTCGCGCCGATGTACGGCGCCATTGGCCTGACGCTGATGCTGCTGCAACTGAGCGCCGGCGGCCGCTGGGCGCGAAAGGTGATCGCCTTCAGCGAGTCGCCCTCCATTGCGGAGATTGACATCGAGTCGGCCAGCCTGCGCCAGCAGATCAAGCGCATGATGTCGATTCCCTTTGGCTACTCGACCAACCTGAACAAGGCCTTCACGCTGCTGCTGGATGAGGCGAAGAGGATGGAGCTGACCGGCGAGGAGATGCCCAAGGTGCTCTTCATCTTCACCGACATGGAGTTCAACTCGGCGCTGCCGGAGAAGACAAACTTTGAGGCGGCGCAGGAGCAGTTCCGCGAGGCCGGCTTTCCCATGCCGCTCGTCGTCTTCTGGAACCTGAAGGGCGACAAGGCGAGCCGCTCGACGCCGGTGCAGTGCCACGAGGAGGGCGTCTTCCTCCTGTCGGGCTACTCGGCGCAGACGATCAACTTCTTCTTCACTGCCAGCGATGTGAAGGAGATGACGCCGCTCTCCATGCTGCAGAAGATTATCGGCGATGAGCGGTACAGCGGGGTGAAGGTGGTGCCGACCGGCTTTGAAGTTGAGGTGGTTTCCCCTTCAAGCCTGCAGCCAATGGCAGTCGATGATGAGGTAGTGGCTGAAGAAGTGGCCCCTGTGGCTGAACATTCTCCGATGCGCGAGTGAACTCCTTTGTAAAAACTGTAGCGGACACGAAACACTCCTTTCAAGTAAGTGGCATTTGACTGACACTGACACTGTGCAGGCAATGCAAATGCTGTACAACCACTGTGCAAAACAGCAGCAAACCAGGTGTTGATTGGTTCTGTTTATTTTGTTTTCAAATTGCAATGTTTTCATGTTTATACATTTATAACAACATTTTGTTTCATCATCATCATCATCATTTTAACATAACAACAATTAGCCAATGTGTGATAATTTCACAAAAACCGAAATGGTGTGTTCATTGTGTTTGGTAAAGTTGCCTGACTTGTTTGCTGCTTAGGAAGAGGAAAGGGAGCTTAGGAATTTAGGTTTAGACGCGCTATTTACTCTACCGGAAACAAAACGCAGTGTGTGGGTGTGATTGCAAGGGATTCAAATTGGCGGTTATAATATTAGAATGGTAGTCCGATAAGAGGAAGTTATATAATGCGGGGTGATACATAGTGATAATAAAGTCAAAGTCCAAAAAGGGAAGGAGAGGAGGGGGTGTCTAGAGTAAAAGTATTCCAGATGCGCTACAATGCAGATGTGTCTGTGTGTGTTGATTTGGCAAGTGTCATTTTAAAGAATAGATAGATAGATAGATAGAACACCACTGCAATCGGTCAATGAGAAAGAGAAAAGAGAAGTGAAGTGAAGAAGGAGATCGAAGAGTTTGTGATTTGTATGGTCTCCCGGAAGAAGACTTGATGCTTGACTGGCAAATGAAGAAAAAGTAGAAGAGGGTGTAAAGTAATGTGAAGAAGGTAAAACCAATAAATAATAAAAGGTAAGAGAGAGAGAAGGAAAAGGGAAAGCACAATAGGAAAGTAAGGTAGAAATAAAACAAAGAGAAAGAGAGGTGTAGAAGTAGGTTGAAAACTTATCAAAGAGAAGTTGTGATGGGTGTGTGTGTTTGGCAAGGTGTAAGAAGTTAATAGGTGTGTGTTGTTGGTATCGCAGAATTCACTAGTCTGAAGAAAGAAGTAGAAAAGAAGAGAAAGGATAGGAGAGAGAAGAAACGCAAACGGGCTGTGTAAAGGTGGCTCTAAAAAGAGTGTGGGCTGTAAAATGCGGTGTGATGCCTAATCGGGTAATCTTGGGGTTGTGGAGTTGAGAGAGAGAGAGAAATGCCAAAACAGTGAAAACAAGTGTAAAGCAAACAGTCAAAAAGGAGAGATAGAGAGGGAGTAAAGGGAGAGTGGTAAAAGATTGGTTTGGGTGGTGGTGGTCGTGGTGGTCGCTGGAGTTCGCTTTAGTGGCTAGTCTTTGCTCACCAAGATTTTGCCGCAGATTTTCTGTTATCTTATCACAATTGATAAATGGGCAAGCGAGGAGGACCAGGAGCAGAGTGAAGCCACCAGGGGAAGCAGCACTTTGAGAAGAAGCAGAGGAGGTGGTGTTGGGAGGTGATGGAGCAAATGCAGAAGTAGTTATGGTGGTGGTGGTGGTGGTGGCAGAAAGTTCTGTATTTGAAGGAGAGTATTTGAGGAAGAAGAAGCTAAGAAAGGCTGTGTTCGAAAACGGTTGTTGTGGTGGTGTGGGTGATAGTGCTACAAGTGTAAACGTGTGTGTTTGTGTGTATTGTCAAGCATCAGAATGAAAGAAGAAGATAAATAGATTGGTGATGAAGTAGAAGAGAATATCATATCAATAATAAGGTAAAGAGATAAATAAAAGTGAGGGGAAAGGGGGAAAAGGTGGGGGCGTTGCCAGAAAATTGGCAAAACGAGAACACTCATCAAAAGAGAAGGTAAAGAAGGAGGAGGTGGTGGTGCAGGAGATAGAAGGAGATAGAAGATGGTAAAAGTGAGTGGCAGAGCGTCATCAGCCTGTTCCTCACCGGCCAAGAATATCAATAGTGTGTGTCAAGTGATGAGTGTGAGATAGATAGGTAGATAGATAGATAGAGTGTCAACGATAGAGAGAGGGAGGCGGGAGGTTGAGTGTAAGTAGTTGTGGTGGTGGTGGTGGTGGTAGTGATGATCTGGTCTTGAAAATGTGAAGGTCATCTTCTGATCAGAAAACGATAGTTCAAGTTGGGCGTGTTTGGTCCGTGTTCTGGTCATTTCTGGTCACCTTGTTTGTGAACGGAGTAAGCGTGTCACTGGTTGCGCCGCAGCTGTTCAGTTTGGCAGTTGCGTCATCATTTCGTCAGCCACTGCTCGACCAGCGTGGACACAAATCAGCTTCAAACTCAACCTGAAATCATCTTCATCACCACCCCGGACCACACAACAAACTTTGGGAGCATATATCACGACACTGGAGACGTATCCATTGGATACAACTACTGATTGACAGAAGAGAGAAGAGGAGGAGGAGAGGAGAATGAAGAGCATGGATTTTCCCTTTTCAAAGAAGCCTGAAAGTTGAAAGTTGGACCTTTGGACATCATCCTTGGACGTCTTGGCCGTGCAAAAGGTAGGTGCATTTTCTGTTTAGTTTCCGAGCACTTGTTCAGGCTAGGAGTTGACCTTGTGTTTTGCATCTTCTGGTCAACAGAAAGAAGCTAGATAGTGTTTTCTATCAGTTACTGATAAGTGTTTTTTGCTAAAATTGTTTTCTAAATCTGCGAGTTTTCTGACTGCCTGTGAGAAATTGTTCGCCGGCATCTGCCAGCGAGTGTCTGTTAATTTTTGACGATTCTCTCTCGTCCGATTTCTTCAGCACCGAAAGTTGATGCGGAGAGAGCGTGTTATTGATGGCTGCTGAGGCATGTTCTGTACAAATAAATAAAAGTGTACTAGTGTATTTCTTGATGTGCAGTAGTAGTAGAAGTAGTTTGTGGTAAAGAAGAGAAAGAATGGAACGAGTGATGGTGGTGGCTGTGGTGGTGCAAGTGCTGAACACGAAGACGGTGAAGAAAAAAAGAGGAGCTTATTTTTAGTTGCTACGCGGACGTTGCTACGAGGCAAAGCTGAGAAGCTGAGATCGTCGAGAGCAAAGACGGATCCTTTGCTTCACCAGGCGTCAGTGTAGCGAACGTCGATCTCTCGCAGCGCCGGCAGCTTCGCCTTCAGCTTCTCGTACATCGCCGCCGACAGATGTGTGCTGTTGAGGTTCAGCGACTGTAGGCGCTTTAGGGCTGGTAAAGAAGAAGGATAGGATTAGTTTGATGATTATGTTTTTGTTTTGAAGACTTACAGGTCAAGTTGTCGATGCCCTTGTCGGTGACCGCAGTCTCGCAGAGGTTAATCGACTCCAGGTCGGGCAGGTGCTCTGAGATCAGCAAAAGGCCTTTGTCGCTGAACTGTGTGAGAGTTGAGTTTAGTTTGATTAGTTTGACTCATTTTTATTCATTTTTTGTTCAGCAGTATATTTACCTGAGTGGACCAGAGATTGAGCGATCGCAGTGAAGGCAGCTGTATGAGGTAGGGCGCACAGTCGCTGGTGACGTGGGTGAAGGCGAGACTGAGCTCGCGGAGGTTGCCGAAGGAGCCGCTGCCGAGCAGCTTCGCCAGGTCGGCGTCTGTCGAGCGGGAGGGCAGCGTCAGTTTCTGCGGTCCGCCGCGCTGTTGCTGTTGGGGTGGCAAAGGTTTTGGTGGTTAGTTGTCATTGGAATCTCTCTATCTTTTTTTCAGACCTGGTCACTTACAATCTCCTTGAGGTGGTACTGCCGCTGGCAGAGCTCCTCGTAGGCGGCCCGCCCGCCGGCGGTGGTCATCAGCGTGGTGATGATCTGCTGCTGCAGCTCGCCCTGATCGCCCTCACCACCACCTTCTCCCTCAGCCCCTCCTTCAGCTTCAGCCCCTTCTGCCGCGCCCCCGACCAGCTCCATCTCGAGGAGGTCGCAGAGGGCCAGCTGGCTGGTGGCGTCGTCGCGCAGCGCCCGCAGCAGACAGGCGTCCAGCGACTTCTTGCCCAGGAGACTCTTCGCGTAGAAGCGCTTCCGCCGGCAGCAGCAGTCGAGCAGGCTTTTCAGCTGTGAGGGATAGGGAAAAGTAGTTTGAGTTATTAAAAGCAGGTTTCTTCCTTCCTTCCTTCTTTTCGACACATTCGGTGGTTATTTAGCAGGCTGCCAAGTTTAGTCTCTCAGTCTGTGCTTCCCTCTTCTCTAATTCCTCCTCCATTTCTCTAAGCCATTTCCAGAATAGTAAAGTGAGCCGTAATTTGACTACTCTGAGAGAGAGGTTTTGGGAAATGAATAAATGACTGCTGCAGTCGGCAGCAGCAGCACTTTCACTAACGACCACCACCGCTGCTGTTTCATGTGCCTTAATGGGCACAGTCATCTTGGCGCAGTAATTTGCCTCGCTGCTGCTGCTGCTGGCTCATTTATTGCCCGCTGCTGCTGCTGCTGATCTCGTTTTCCCCCGCCAGTTTTCACCACGCTACCACTTACCATGGAGCTCCAGAAGAGGCCCTCATCGTCGCAGGCCTTGTTGGTGGGACTGTACAGCTCCAGCCAGCTCTCTTTGCCTTCGCGCATTCCCAGCAACATCAGGTGCACGTCGCATCGCGGGTCCAGGCTGATGTTCATTATCACAGACTTGAATGGTCTAGGGGAGAGAGAAATTGGTTAGTTAGAAACACTGATTCCACCAGCAAGTCCATTAATATTTCAGTAGTCTAATTAGCAGGCAGGAGGTTCTCTCTTTCACCGCTCTGTTTGCTGCTGATGCTGCTGTCACACACATAGCGTGAGCGTCTTCACTTTTACTTTTGCTCTCTTTTCCTCGCGTTCATAAATAATGAACATTCTTTGACTCAATAGAGTCGGCCATTCTCTCATTTGACTTACATTCTGAATCTCGCATCAGCCAAGGCCATCTCGGGAAAGGGAATGGGCTGCAGAATCTGCGCCAACAGCGGTCTCNCTGATTCCACCAGCAAGTCCATTAATATTTCAGTAGTCTAATTAGCAGACAGGAGGTTCTCTCTTTCACCGCTCTGTTTGCTGCTGATGCTGCTGTGACACACATAGCGTGAGCGTCTTCACTTTTACTTTTGCTCTCTTTTCCTCGCGTTCATAAATAATGAACATTCTTTGACTCAATAGAGTCGGCCATTCTCTCATTTGACTTACATTCTGAATCTCGCATCAGCCAAGGCCATCTCGGGAAAGGGAATGGGCTGCAGAATCTGCGCCAACAGCGGTCTCCAGTCGTCGAAGAGCGAGCTGGTGATGGGGAGTCAAAATAGAGGTCAGTTTGTGCCCTGCAAAACGCAGACGGCTTTTCTTTTGAGCTCTCACATGATGTAGAAGATGTTGATGAAGCACTCGAGGTGCTGCTGCCACTCCTCCTCCTGCTCGGCCGTCCTCGGTTCCTTGTCCTTCTCCTTCTCTGAGTGTTTCTCCTCTGTCATCGACTCCACCTTGCCCTTCTCGAAGAGCGCGTACATGGACGCCAGACAGACGGAGACGATGTTGTTGATGACGCGATTATGAGGACAGGTGCTGCCGAAGCCGTGAACACTGCGCAGGGGAAGATTGATTGATTGATTGATTGATTGATTGATTTTAGTATCGTCTTGCTTTTCCAGTGATTTTACTTTGAGAATACACTTACACTCGAATGAAGTGCTCCACCAGACTGCCGCCCTCGTTCTGCTGCTGCAGGGCGAGAAAGAAGTCCTGCACGAGGACCCGCGTTCGCGGGTTCTTGCTGTAGTCCATGTTGTGCTTGAGAATGCGCTGGACGATGTCGCTGTAGCACTCGGTGATCACCATGGAGCGCGGGTAGGCGCGGCAGTGCTGAGGAAACAAAGAGGAAGGTTAGGTTAGGTTTTTAGGATGTCATCTCTGAGCTTTTGCGCTTACCTTGCTGAGGAAGAGGCAAATCTCCAGCGTGGGACTGGTCTTCTCGAGCAGCGGCGCCAGCTCCAGGATGATCGCCTCATTCAGCTTCTTGTTGCTCATGGTCGTCTCCGCCGAGGGGTACTCGTGTTGCTTGCGATCAAACTGTGCAGTGTGTGTTGTACGAGGTGAAAAGTCGGCAGTAGCGGTAGTGAAAGAGAGAAGAGATAGAGAGAAGAGGATAATGTTGGGGAAAATTAGTTTGTTAGTTGGAGTACGGAGTAATGTGGTGGTGGAGGAAGAAGAGGTTTTGTTTTTTATACATTTCTTCTATCTTTCTTTGTTTGTAGCCTGTCTTTCTGTTTCACTTACGTCTTTGAGGCGTAGCTGCAGCATCTCGTTGATGATGTCCAGCGACGTCTGGTAGATGCACTCGTCCTGCAGCGGCGTCGTCAGCGTCAGATCGATGAGGTTCTGGTGTGTGTGTGCAGTAAATATAGAGAGAAAGAAAGTGTGAATGAGTTGAACTTGGCTGTGCTTGTGTGGTGGTGGGGTAATTTCCATCGAGTGGAAATTATCGGCGGCGGATTAGCAGCGGCAGCAGCAGCATCCCCAACAGTGAAAGTGGATCTATGCGGAAGCGCCTGACTTTTCTCTCGCGCACAGTCATCCTCGGTGCATCCTCGCTCCCTTTCTCGATGCCGGACAAACTGAGGGCAATTAGTGTTCTCGGAAAAATCAGAGGGAATGCTCCTATGAGAAGATTGTGGGCAGCAGATTGTAAGAGACTACCGACCAGGACGATTTGGGTTCAGCAGCACCCATCATCTCGGGATGTAACAGGAGACGAAGACGGCGACGACCATTTTGTCGCCTGTCAGATCTGCCTGCTGCTGCTGCTCTGGTTGCTAATTTCCCTTTGCTGTCGTTCTTCTCCCGCCAATGCTGCTTACATTAGCATTTTGCTTTTCTGGCCATTCACACCACCACCACCACCTCATTGCCACCACCACTATTGCTGTGGTACTATTTTTGGCCGTCTGTGGTCAGCCAGTGAGTGAGTAAGTGTGTGTGGTTATTGGTGTCCATATTCATGTACTTTTATTAACTGCTGCACCAGCAGCAGCGCGGAGTTCATGACCGCTTAGCAGGAGGAGGACATGAACTCTCCTTTTCTTTCCGCTGTGTTATGAACTCTCTGAGAATAGTCTACCCAAAGTGTGTAAGCAGCGGTGGGGCATGTCAATGTTTTATTTACTCTACTACTCAATCTATTCTATTCTTGCAGATTTGAGATTTGCTGATTTTGATATAGCAACAGCTATAGCTTTCATTTTCCTCCTCCTCAGTGGTAGTGGTCAAAAATTGATTGATGGTCAGTAGTTTTGGTCATTGGGGAAGCACAAAGTGCTAAATATAATCATTTGCAAGCACGATAATTAATCGGTCAGAATCGATTGACTTTACGGAGGCCGAGAATTTTTGATTTGGAATCGCTCCACTCTAGCTTTTATTATCTGGCCAGATCGATTGTGTAAAGACTGCACATGATTCTCTGGTCATCATGGTTTGCTCTTTCATTCTCCTCTTTCTCTCTCCTTTTCAGCAGTCTCATTTTCACGTCTAATCGAACATGTCGGCGACTTGGCACACACACACACACACTTCCTCACGCTAGGAAGATCAATCACGTCACAGCAGTGAGTGTGTACTTCTTTCGCCCCGAAACACTGCCTCTTCCTAGGGCACCTTCTTCCCACTGGTAGTAATAATGTGCTTGTTCGATCGGTGTGCACTACACCGACCGGTGTGCGTTCTTTCTTTTTTTCGTCGTTTCTGAATGGCGAAATCTGTTTCTGTTTTCGCCGTTGTTAACTGCTGCAACTGGAAGATATGACCCTGAATGTGTGTCCTGTCCTCTGAAAATCTAATGGTGCTTACGTTAGTGGTAGAACTGTTTCCTCTTTATGAGCTTTCGAGCTCTAAACTGTCTCTTTCTCATTACTTTGTGTGCTACTGTTTCTGCTGTCTCTTGTGCAATGATGATTGCTTTGCCTTGCTTTGTCGGTAATATCCTTCTGATTCAAGTGGCTGGTGGACGGCCTTGAGCAGCAGCAGAAGTAGCAGCAGTCTCTTATCGCAGAAGTGTGTCCTCTGCAGTGTGTGCTCACCGAAAAAAAGTGAAAGCCCTAAAGAAAGTAGTGCTGAAAGTTGCTTTGCTTTGCTTTGTGTTTTTGTGTTCTGTGGTGAGCGGTGAATAATGCAAATGCTTTGCTTTGCGTTCCAGAAGCGACCGTTTTAGTGGAATTTAGTGTCTGTGGTTCCTCTCGCTCTCTCTCCTCAATTGATGACAGCTCTCACTGAAATTGTGCACTGTTTCACTGTCCTCAAGTAACTGGTCGCACGATTATTATTATTTATCATATTCCTCGAGTTTATATTCACTAAATGAAATCATTTTTGTGTCATCGGTCTCATCGGAGAGACACAAACGGTCTGCTCTGATTTGACTGTGTGATTTGGCTGCTGCAGTGTGTGTGTGTGTGTGTGTCNCTTTGCTTTGCGTTCCAGAAGCGACCGTTTTAGTGGCACTTAGTGTCTGTGGTTCCTCTCGCTCTCTCTCCTCAATTGATGACAGCTCTCACTGAAATTGTGCACTGTTTCACTGTCCTCAAGTAACTGGTCGCACGATTATTATTATTTATCATATTCCTCGAGTTTATATTCACTAAATGAAATCATTTTTGTGTCATCGGTCTCATCGGAGAGACACAAACGGTCTGCTCTGATTTGACTGTGTGATNCCCCGATTTACTGGGTCCTGGCGGCTTTTTAATATTTTAAAAAGCTCTTTTTAGTTTTTCTCTGGTTGAATTGTGCAACTTTCTCCCGCTTTTCCCGCTCACTCACTCACTCATTCGTTCAGTGTTTGTTCTCCCTGCTTTCCTGCACGACATTAATTATTCCGTCTGCAGTAAATCTGGCGGCCGAATACGTTTTTTTCTGTCGTTTTTTGAGTCCGCTTTATTCAGGTTTTGTTTGTGTCACAGTTTGTGATGATTCGAGCCCACCAGTTCTATCATCTATGAATGGACCCTGAAATAGCTGCCTGATTGTTTTGCTGCGGCCACACTGGAGGATTTAGAACTCACTTGGCTTTGTGCTCTCGTGCTGTGTGCATCTTGCTGTGTGCTCAAGCTGTGTGCTCCGGTGTCTGTGTGACCTTACCCTTTTCACGATGTTTACTCTGTTATCCAGCATGGTCTGGGCATTTGTTCTTGGCCCCACTATTGCTTCTATGTTATTACTCTTTATATTATTTATTACAACATCTCTTAGTCATTGCAAACTTGTGCTGTTATGGATCTATGAGCAAGTACGCTTTCAGAGCTATCGCTGGACTCGTGCTGCTCTATTCTATCTTTCTGCTTTCGCTCTGTGGATGTCCCTATGTGCCCTCGCCCGTGTGATCAGTGCTGAGCTTTTTCAGTTTGCTTGTTGTTTATTGTATCCGGCCTAGCGCATTTTTTTGTAGTCGTCAAATGGATGGGGCAAATAAAAGTACTACTCTAGTGGAAGCCAGTTCTGTCCGGAGAATCGGTTGAATCGGTTGAATCGGTTGGTGTGTTGTTTTGCTGTTTTTATCTCTTTTTTTGTACGGTTAATCTCTCCTGCCAACGCCCGACGGCCATTCGCTTTCCCATTCATTGAGCAGTAGTAGTACAATGTACCCTGGCCCTGTGCCCTCGCCCACTCAGCACAATCACCCAAAAACCCTGCTGATTGGTATTCACACACGCATTAGAGTGTGCCAACTCACAATTGATGTGTAACATCTGGCGGAATAAACAACAAGTGAACATTTAGCACCTCTACTCTCTAAATAGAACATTAGCCGTTAGAGTTGATCGGCCTGCCTGCCTGGTCACTGCTCGGTTCAGGAGGTGGCGATTGTTAATCGGCGATCTAGGAATAACAAGGCAACAACAACAACAACACGAGTAATCTTTAGACTGTTATTATGTGCTGAGAAGCTGTGTTCTTACTGGCAGTCTTACTTTGCATCTCTTTCTCTCCTGCCTTTTCTCCTGCCCGCATCACTACCGCCAAATTCGTCATTTGCGTCACTGCTCAATTTATTGGCTCTCTTCTGTCTGTCTGTCTGCCTGTGTATTGGCTTTGCCCTCTCGTCGTTTGATTTGCTGTAGTGAGAGAGAGAGAGAAAGAGAGAGAGAGAGATCTGTTGCCAATGTTTGGGAGTGTTTGCTTGAATCTCCGATTTCTCTCTTCTTTTCTTTTTTTCCCCAGGAGCTGCAGCACAACTCGTGTAAGCAAGTGCCTTTGCTAAAGTTGCTGTGTGTTTGTTACCTAACAAAATAAGAGGCTACTGTTTTCCCTGACGAACACAGAAGCACTGTCTTGTTTGTCTGTCTTTGTGTGTGTGTATGTGCCCTGACTATTCATTGCCAATTGGCGAGAGTTGATCAAAAGATGTGCATTCTGTGGTGGTGCACTTTTGCCGTGTAGCAGCACTTTTTTTTATTGCCGATAAATTGCGAACTGCGCTCTTTTTGCTGATTTGTTCGTTATTTAAACTCAAAAGGCAGCGCAAAGCGTGATCACACTTTTTGCGCCTTTTTTATTGCCATTACTGCTCCACAGTGAACAGGAAAAAAGCTTTGGCCAGGAATGTTTCGCTTGCCTACTTCTGCTGCTAAACATATTTATTGGCTAATTAGTGCTGCTGCTGCTGCTGCTGCTGCAATGACGTCAGTTGATGCAGGCGAATCTCATCATCAACGAAGTTGGCGTTCATTACTCTGCGCGCCCAAACTGTGTTGTCAGGCAACTGCCGAGCTATTCTCTAGTCTATTTTCTGCCAATTCTTTCCACTTCAGCCTTACCTTTAGCTCCTTGATGAGCACCTCCTGGCGGATGGAGGGGTTGACGAGGATGCGTTGAAACTTTAGCATGCAGCGCTGTACGAGAAAGAAAAAGCAAAAAGCAAATGGTTGGTTAGCAGGTGAACTGCATTGATTTGCTTTGCTCTGCTTACCTTCCAGTTGATTGAGTTGAGCCACTGGTCGCGCACCCATTTGTTGGGCAGCTGCAGCAGCACCGAGCCGTCGGGAATGACCGCACGAATGTAGAACTTCTGACTGGAGTCCCAGCGCGAGACGGAGTAGACGTCCTCAATCTGACTGTACGGAATGGGCACCTCCATGAAGCCGATGGGCTGTGGAAGAAGAAAAAGAAGGCGGAATATGAGTTGTGAGCTAGTGAAGTGTGTGCAAATTGAAAGGGGTGCACACTGTACACTGATTTGACAATTTCCTAAATTGACAAGTTTGTCATCTGCTGCCAGTTCACAGGACAACAAAATTGAACTCGGGTGAGATTCTCTCAGTATGTGCTCACTATTTACTTGACATTGGCCGCATCTTTCCCTTTCCCTCNGCAAAATTGAACTCGGGTGAGATTCTCTCAGTATGTGCTCACTATTTACTTGACATTGGCCGCATCTTTCCCTTTCCTTCTACTCTTCGTAAGCCCATTCATTCGCTCGTTCACTCTCAGTTCTCTTTTCATCTCTGTTTAGAATTCACTGCTAATTCAATTAGCGATTTGGGTGAGTCGGCGGCGTTGGCAGCGGCGACTACTCACTAATGAATTTGCTCTCAGCGTGCGCGCGCGTGTTTAGGAGCAAGGAAAAGAGTGTAAATGTGCTGTAGAATTTTCCCCATCCACATCGATGGTGGTGGCACTTCCGCTCGAGAGTTTCCACTCTCCCCTTTCTCTCTTCTCTTTCTGCCCATTGAGTCGTACTGCTGTTTAATTGTTCTGCTAGCTGCTGCTCCAAACAAATGAGCGATCGTAAAGTCGATTAATTAGAATTGAAAATAGAGAGTGGGTGTGCGGTGGTGAAGAGCAAATAATTCCCAAATAATGCCGACGAAGCGTGAAAATGATTGAAGTGGTAGTGGTGGTGCTGAAGGGGTGATGGTGAAAAGTGATTGCTGCTGCTGCTGCAGCTTTTGTTTTCCTTTTGTTGTTTGGTGTTTCTGCATCAGCAGAAGTGTCGTCAATGTTGGACACATCACATGTGTGTTGTCATCACGTTGTCATTTAGATTGCTGGCCAGCTCTGCTTTCCTTTCAATGTTGTGCTTTGTCAACAGTCTCTGTTTGGTTGACCTGTTTGATCTGTTGGAGGGGTCTCTTCACTGGAAAGACCGCCACTGCAGCCGCTAGATTTGTAGTTTGAGTGAGTACTGGAGGAAGGAGGAACAGTTGACAGTGCGGCGGCGGACACCTACGCACGTGAGAGAGGAGAGGAGCTCACTCATCATTCAAAGTTCAGTTGGCAGAACTGGCGAAATGGCAGTGTGTCCATTAGTGAGAAAAATGTGAGTAAAGTGGTCCTCTCGTTTCTTTTCTTTCCTTCTTTGTCTTTCCGTTCAGTACAAACCAGTTGTGTGTGAGGTTCACGAGTTGAGCGTCGTTGGGCTGTGATTGCCAACTGCAGCAGCAGCAGCTGGCAAAGATGGCACTTTGCAGATGAGAAATACCGCAGCCAAATTAGCGATATTACGCTGTCTAATTACTGCTACAGCTGTTGCTGCTGCTGCTCTAGATTAATTTGATTTCACTACCACCACCACCACCTTATTATTGCTAGTAATCATAGGGACAGTTTCCGGTGGTGGCGATGGTGTTGCAGTGGTATCTGCCAACTTTGNACGCTGTCTAATTACTGCTACAGCTGTTGCTGCTGCTGCTCTAGATTAATTTGATTTCACTACCACCACCACCACCTTATTATTGCTAGTAATCATAGGGACAGTTTCCGGTGGTGGCGATGGTGTTGCAGTGGTATCTGCCAACTTTGCTGCAATGATGATGATGACAAATGCTGGTGTTGCTGTTGTCATTGTGTGTGTATGTGGGTACTGATCAAATTCTGATCGATTGCAGATACCACCACTCAACACAAAAAATGAGACGGTTTTCGTTGTAAAAACCCCCGATTATGACTATTGTGCTAGTCTTTTCATTTGAATGGAGTGGAAAAATTTAATTCGATCACACTTGGCACTTTCGGTACACTCACTCTCTCTGGATTCACTCTTTTCATTTGACTGACTGTCCGATTGCTGCAGCCGCCGCCGCATCATCTTTACTTGAACAGAGGTGTGCACTGCTGTACATGTACATCAATTCAGTGCTGTGCTGTGCAGGTGCCCCGAATTAGGTTACCATCATCGTTTAGGAGAGCAACAGCAGCAGCAGAAGAAGCAGCGGTCAGGTTGGCAGGCAGTATCTCTCAATTGACTCGGTATTCTTTCCTTTTTTCAGCCTTTCGTATATAGCCGCAGTTGCAGTCTTGTTGTTGTCGAACGCGCGGTGTACGCGGTGGCCCCGTGGTCTTCATTGAGAAGATTGCCGCCGCCGCCGCCGCTTTTTCGCCTCACTAGAGACGGTGCTAACTCTTTTGCTCTTTCAGCTCCCTTCTCTTGAGTGCGTTTTGCGTTTTCACCTTGAACTGTGTGCCTGACTGCCTGAGTGTAGAACACGGTAACGGTACTACACAGTACTGGGAAAAGAAGAAGAAGAAGAAGTCAGACAGAATTTGAAGTTGGCAGTAGGCCACCGATCAGAGGGGGACTGATGCTGCTGCACTTTAATTTGGTGCTCCCCTCCTTGAACTTTGTAAAGCATCACCTTCTGTCTTTCTCATCTCTGTTCACTTTTTTGCCCTTTTTACCGCTAATTGAACTGTTCACTCAGTTTAAGGGAGGAGAGAGTGGGAGCAATTTCGCAAGAAAATGTTTTGTGTTAAACAGCAGTAGATTGTTCAATTTTAGCTTTCGTTCAGTGAGCTCTTTGCGCGCACCCCTTTTAGCATGAATTTTAGCTTGAAAAAATTGATGTGATTTGATTTTCTCGAGAGAAGCGCTAATAATATTGGCTGTGCACTTCCTGTCATATTTGGGTCTGTCGGTGTGTCGGTGTGTGTGTGTGGTAATTCTGTTGTGGTGATGGGGGATGTGTTTACTGTCTGCAGCTGAAGAAGAGACGTCAGCTGGCTCGGCTGCTGCAGCAGCTTTGAGCCTGTTGCAGTTGCTGCTGCTGCTAAAAGCGGCAAATCAAAGCACCGAACTCTGTGTTTTCTGTCTGTCTGCTCACCACACCATCTGCCCGCAGATTTGGGGTAAAAGTTAAATGCTAAGCTAACTGGTTAGCTGATGGTGACTGGTGGTGGTGGCTAATTTAGGGTGATCACTTCTCGGTAAAAATACGAGGGAGGCTGCAAAGACCTCCGAGGCAGCCAGCTACTGTTGTTGCTGGGTGAGTTTTGGAGCTGAGAAAAGAGAGAGAGAGAAGTAGGTCTCTCATTCATCTGATCTGTTGGTAGTTGTAAGACTGTGTGCTGGCTACCAGGAAAACACTATTGTACTGCTGCTGTCGCTACCATAGAATCGACCGACACTGCCGACCGGCTTTTCCTCTCGTTCTCTCTTCCTCCGTCAGCGATACTTCCCTTCTCCCCCCTCCTCTGCTCCATTCTCAAGATTGGCCATCGGGCAATCGCACTACTGATTCTGCTGCTGCTTCTGAACCCCATTCTCTTCTCTCTCTCCTGAGGTCGTCACGAATTATTGCACTCTAGTGCGGTGACCTAGATTCTCACACACACTCTCTCTCT